ACATAGCCAAGTCTCCCAAAAGAATTAGAGCAGAAAACCAGAAAGTTCTGGAAAGCAATCACTGTCTTTATACTTCTACTTGATTTTTGCTTCCATGCTTTCTGCCTCCCCAGCAAGAATCCAATGGAACTTTGCTCTCTATCACCCAAAGTTTATGTTGTATTTGTGATTAGCAGAGGCTAACTCTTCTATCTTTAACCCCAAGTCCCAGGAGATCATGTGGTTGTCCCAGTTCCTGCCCTGAAGAAACAAGTCACATGCTCCTGCCTGGCTCCTAGAGCCCTCCTTGAGTCAGGACAGAGGGCAGAATATAGAGAATATGTTTTTAAAGTGAGAGCGGGTTGACAGGTAGCCACCAAGGGACATGGACTATATAAAAACCCATGAAACTACAAGGACTATCATAAAGATGTGTTCAGGCAGAATTATCATGAGATGCTAATGTAAATCTTCCTGAGTGCCATGGAATTTAATGCTGAATTCCGTGAGGCTTGTGTGAGCTTAGGTAAGTACATACCCTAGGTAGCATACACAGCACTGCTACACTGGGAAAGCATATAATTAGCTTTGTCATTTAAAGGAGTTGAGTTTGGAGAGACTGTGAGCCACATTGTTTGAGAAATCCCAAAACAGCCTGCTAAATATGCCAATGAGACCATGACAGCCATCCATCATGAACCCCGTGGACACAGTGGGGAACCTGAGCTGCCTCCATCCAGTGGAAGCAGAGAGCTCTGGGTCATACACACCTCTCCAATGTCATTAAAAGGACCTTGGGTTTAGTTCTCCAACGTTTAATACCTACCTGAATGCCACACAGGTACTGAACTCACTGAACGACCTGATACACTCTGAATAACAAGTTGCATTTAGACAGAGAAAGAATCGACCGTTCAGGCTTTCCTATTAATCTGCTAACCTTCCCTTCAAAACTAAAACTCAGCTGTCAGCCTCTAGAAAAAGAGGCATGTTTCATAACTTAACATGGATTTTTTTTTCCCTACAAATTTCCTTCAAAGGACTTTGTTACCAAAAGACAATCAAGTCCAAGGTCGTCAGTGGTAATTCAGCTGTCTTTTGCACAAACTCCTGGTGATTAAGTCGAAAAATCCTTGCTGAAGTAGACCAGACATTTAAAGTATTTCTACTCCAAATTCTAGATCATGTCGAGCTGAAATCTTCCTTCAGCAACGGTAACTGTATAAACTTGATTTCAGTGATAGAATTGCCATGGTCTACAGTACACTTGAATTACAGATTGAGAGGGTAAAAATAGACTTTTCCAAAACCACTGACTGTGATGAAAGCCATACCATTTGTTTTATTTAACACTCTTGACTACTGATAGCATAGTTGAAACTTTTGTTTGCTTATGCTACATTGCCCTAGTTGGTACTGTCAACTTGGCACAGCCTAGAAGTACCTGAAAGAATGGAGTTTCAATTGAGTATTGCCTTAAACAGGTTGGTCGATTGGCATTTCTGTGAGAGATTCTCTTGATTCTTAATTGACATAGCAAGGCCAAGGCTATTGTGGGTAGAACCATTCCCCAGGTGAGTATTCTTGTATTGTATAAAGAACTTGGTGCACATGAGCCCAAGCAAGCCAGAAACAGAGCCAGGGAGCAAGTGGACAGAGAAAACAGCACTCCATGATTTCTGCTTCACGTTGCTGCTTGAATTCCTGCCCTGAGTTCCCTTGATGATGGATTGTAACTTGCAAGCTAAAACAAAACCTTTACTCCCTTAAATTGCTTTTGGTCATGGTATTTGCCACAGCAACACAATGAAATGCCACTACTTAATGATTTTTTTAGGTGCTCCATGAAGATGGAAGGGTAAGTAAGACACGCTCTCTCTTTGCAAATAATTTATAACCTAGTACAGATGAAACAGTATAGACTCTGTAATAATTACCAGTGGTCTCAGTTAGTGAATAAGCATGGCAATTACCCAGTGGGAAAGAATCCCAGCAGGAGGCCAGCATTAGAAGACAGGAGATGGGCTCCTGTGCTGAGAGAAGCCTGGGCACAGTAGCTGAACTCCCAGCCGAGTCTGGAGGATGGGTGGGATTCAAAACTAGAGGAGAGAAGAAAGCTTGTTGTGCCTGTGGGAAAACATGAGAAAGAACACCAGAACAATTGAAGTCGAGACTGCCTGACAGCTGCAAGGACAGAAGGACAGCTGCAAGGACAGAAGGACAGCTGGACAGCTGGACAGCTGCAAAGACAGAGGTTGCTATCAGGCCGCAGTTTGTAGCCAGGACAGATATTGCCCCTTAGGGACTGTAGACAATGCTCCAATGTCTGGAATTATTATTATTATTATTATTATTATTATTATTATTATTATTATTATTATATTTATAACAAAAGAGTAGGTACTGGAATTTAATGGACACAGGTTAGAGGTACTAAATATCCTTCAGTATGCAGACTAATCCTCATGACCAAGCCCTGCCCCCCACAACACTTCACAGGTGCTCAGGCAGATCAAGCTGACAATAAAGGAAGGGCTCCCTGGGTACCAAAGGCTGTGCAAAGTAGAGAAGAAAGAGATGGAGAAAGGTTAACTGGTGGGTACTTCTGCTGTTAGATAGGAGGAAGATGTTCTGGGCTGGGGAAATGCCTCAATTTATCAAGTTCTTACTGCACAAGCATAATGACCTTCGTTCAGTCCCCAGCACCCATGTAAAAAGGCCAGGATTGTTGATATGTGTCCGTTACACCGGCACTGTAGAGGTAGAGACAAGAGGACCCTGGAGGCTCACTGGCTTGCCACTTTAGCTAAATCAGCAAGATACAGGTTAAACAAAAACAGTGAAGTGACCCTATCTTAAAAATCAAGGTAAGGAACTACTGGGGAAGAAACCTAATGTTGACCTCTGTTCTTCACACACATGCATCACAGTGCACCATACACATACAGATACATAAGAAGTTCTAATGCACTAATGTACCAGGATCACTCAGGAAATGA